CAGCCAATCAATGTCCGCTTCAGGCTGTGACTGACTTGTTGCCCCACCCTCAACTACTCGAACACAGGAAGCCAACACATGAAAAGGGATATTATAAAAAGGCAACCCACCGACAGAAACAATAAAGTTAGAGATTAAAATTGAGATTAACGCGATTAAAACAACATAACGCGCTAAATATGACTAATTAATGATTTGCAATGGACGCGATAAATTGACACCTCCAAATATGCATTTTCTTGTGTGTTAGTTTTCCAGATCAACCCTTGGATAGTGCTTGTTTTTTTTTTGTTTTTTTTTTTAGCTATTGCATTTATTGAGTAACACCATTGGAGAACCACTTTGCAGGATTCATTAAGTCATAACTCTCCCAACTGCAAGATGGAGAAGTTGCATTGTTTCCACACTAACGTTTGGTTCTCTTTATTGTGATTTATTCTTTCGGGGGAAAAGTTCTGGAAAGATGTAAGTCCCAAGCAAGCGTGACGTGGACAAAGCGGCCATTTTTGTTGTGCTTTTGAGGATTTGATGCCGTTTTGGAAGAATAATTTTTGGTGTGCTTTGCAGTGGAAACCTGATGTGCTGCATGCTTGCTTTGGGTTCTGTTTCAAGTAGCGATCCAGCCGTTGGCATGAGTTTACAAGCTTTTGCGACATGGCACTGCTCCAAACCAGTCATTTGCGTCCTGCATGCCTTTTTTTTTTTCTTTTTTTTTTTTTTTTTACGCAGGTAGTGAATTGAGAGAGCTTCTATGGCATGCATCAGTGTGGTTAAATGACCCTCTCTGCGGTGAAGGTCAAGGTAAAGTCTTTTTCTGTTCATTTTTTTTTTTTTAGTGCCACAGCCCCCCACTATCACACACCAGTCCCCCAAGGATTACATCATCGACCCCCGGGAGAACATTGTCATCCACTGTGAGGCTAAAGGGAAGCCTCATCCCAGGTAAGGATCTCTTTATCTGAGTGTGCGAGTAGATTTTTACAGTGACAAAAATACCTTCAAAAAAGAAAAACAAAGATGTCAGAAATTCAAGTCTTTTTTACGTGGCTGCTCAGTTTCTCCTGGACGAGAAACGGCACCCACTTTGACCTGGAGCAGCACCCCAACGTGCACATGAGGGCCCATTCGGGAACACTGGTGGTGGACATCAGCAGGGAGCGGACGGAACACTACGAGGGCACGTACCAGTGCACGGCCAGGAACAAACACGGGACCGCCGTCTCCAATGACATCGTGCTGCGCCAACCCAGTAAGAATTGAAAAGCAAAGATTGTCTGTTGTCTCAGATTGACAAAAAAGAATAATCGACAAAATTCTGAGTTTGTATTTTTCAAATTTTGTCGCCATCAATTTTGGCCTTTTGCTGAAAATGGAAATTGGTTCGAAATATCTTTTTTTTTTTTTTTGGCCTCATTTCGACTTTGAAACTCAAGGCCCAACTGTACGGGAACTCGCAGATTACGCCGTGGTGTGTTACCAACTGTTAATTTTGTATTTTGAGGCTGCTCCCTGAATTTTGTCATGATCATCCTCACCTCATGAGCAAGATCTTTCATGGAGTGAAAGTGACGCTCATTTTGGGTATTTTCCACTTCAGTATAATGACACCCTAACCCCAAGTTTTTTTTTCCTGATTATTTTTTTAATAGCAAATTTACAGCCCTGGCATATTGTGACAGCTCTTTAATTTCACTCAGTGGTGGTAAAGTAAAAATAAAAGCATTTTTTTTTTTTTTGTGTGTGTTCACACAAAAGGGTCGCCTTTGTGGTCCAAAGAGAAGATCAAG